TAAATTTTTTAGAAGTAATTTAAGGTCCATCAGTTTCGTGCTAACACCATGGTGCATTAACTAAGAAGCAAGAAACAAAGCTGGTTGAACTTAAAAGTGCCCTTTATAATAGCTGCTTAACCAGCCTGAGCTTCAGTTTCCCTACCTGAAGAGCTGGACGTACTAAATGATATCTTAGGTGCTTTTTTTTTAGCTTTTATGATGTGTGATTCAATGATGGGAAATGACAGAGAAAGAGAGAGACAGAGAGAGAGAGACAGAGACAGAGACAGAGAGACAAAGACAGAGACAGAGAGACACAGACAGAGACAGAGACAGAGAGACAGAGAGAACCAGCCAGCCATCCACGGACAAGGACACGGACTTGGACACAGACCAACAGAGAAACAGAGACAGAGACAGAGAGAGGGGAGAGGGGAGAGGGAAGTGGGGAGAGGGGAGATGGGAGAGAATAGAAGAGAGAGGAGAGAGGAGAGAGAGAGATCTATCATGAATATAAGTGAGGAAAGAAAGCTGTGAGAAGTGGAAAAGTGAAGAGAAATAGAAAAGTGAAATGAAGAAAAAAATATCATGCAGATTGAGAGGCAAGAATCAGAAACTCAAAAGGAATGATGAACTCAGTAGGTTTTCCCTGAGTTTGTGAGGACTACAGTGTTCTCCTTGTCTCCTTTCAAAATGAAGACATATCTGATAGTCTTAAAGGCTAGTTACATATAGATGCTTGCTTTTTCCCCATCTCAATTCTGCACTGCATATTTCCAATCTCACCAAATAAAGCATACCATAATTTAATACATAAGTTCTTCCAGAGAATAAGAGAATTATAGTATATCCATAACAGAAAAGGTCTTATATATCTCTTAGTTGAGCAGTTATGAAATCTATATGCATATAAAAAGGAACTTAAGATAATACCAATGCTTGTACTCCAAAGCCAAAGCAAAAGAACCAGAATGACTAGGGTGGGAAACTTGGAATAAATATTTTTTGTTTCCCAAGAAGGTTCTAATGAGCAGGACTAAGGACTTGGCTCAACCCCTCATGGTACAGATCATACTCAAAGGTTATTGTGATTCATCTTAGAATCTTCAGGTATTTGTACATTTGTAAAGCCATAAACTCTTCCATTTCATATTTAAAAGCTATCCTATATTATGATTTATCTTTAAAAGAGAAAAATAGCTAATTCTTCAATACTTTAAGTTAATATATGCAACAAATCATTTTGAATAAGTCTAAGGCAAGGTCCAGAGGTTTCTTATTATGGTATAAATATATATATATATATATATATATATATATATATTCTGTGAATTAGTCCATTTTTGAGGTTGAGTGATTTACAGAGGATGAGAAATCAAGTCAAAACACAGCAGGTTTAGTTTTCTTGTGAGGATTGCTCTCTACTTCCAGGATGGTTTCTCTTTACTGCCTCCTGTGAACAGGAGGAATATTTTGTCATTATATATCAGAATATAGAAAGAGGAGCAAACCAAATGCTGCACAAAACCTCTTTTTCATTAATTTTATTGAAAAACAAATAGCAATGAGACAGTTTAAAAACTGATTGGTAGAACAGTTTCAATAATTAATACATTGCATATGGTAGTCTTCATAGTAGTTACTCATAGTACAAGATGCAGACATGATATCCTGTCCAAACATTAGTAGTACAATTCTTTCTTCTCATGAATTAAGAGAAAGTAGCTGTATATCTATCCTATTTTGTATATACAAATACAAAATGGTCCTTCATTTATATCCCCTTTTTTTCTTCAGTTTTCTCAAAGATAGGTATTCCATTGCCATTTAAATACTATAGGTGCATGAATTCAACAAAATAATCTAATATAGTCCAGTAGTCCATAATAGTAGTGGGTTATCTGCAGGACTGGCAATGTCAGAAATTGTTGACTTGAGCCTTTTGCAGCTCAGCATATTAACATGGCTTTGGGACCGGGGAGATGGCTCAGTAGAATAAGCACTTACCCGGCAAGCAGAAGGGCCTGAGTTCAATCCCTGGTTCCATCAAAAAATAAAAAGTAAAAATATTTTTTAAATGTGGTTTTACTTTTTTTCATAATTTTATTGATAAACAAGTAGCAATGAGACAGTTTCAAATAAAATTGGTAGGACAGTTTCAGTAATTAACACACTGCATACATTCTTCTTAGTGGTTAATTGCTGTACAAGATGCAGACTTGATTTCTTATTCACAAACACCATTAGAACAAATCATTCTATTCATTAAGAGAATGTAACTATATATCTATCCTAACCACTTTGAATACACATTATACCTCATTTTTATACTTTTCTGCTGAGTGGTTAAGACCAAGATAAAGCAATGTTTTATATGGCTAGATTTCTAAATTTATGTAAAAAATATGTAATTTTTTATTCCCATTTTCTTACTTTTTATTTTTTCTTCACATTCTGTAGGGATTCAACGTTTAACATATCAATACTTGATGGAAAATACCTGTTCCATTTTATGTCTAAGATGTTTGATATTTAGACAGATAGTGAGGTTAAGCTCAACTGCCTATGTTATAGGGTAATAATATCATTAAGCTTCTCTTCTGGAGAGCTAACAATCTAAGTTTGCAGACCAGAAATTAGAGAAAAAGAAGGGCTGTGAGGACAGCCAACATTTTGACCCTAGCCTTTCAATGTCAGTGAGGACTCAGGACATAGGAGAACCTGTACTGTACCATCATGTAACTCAGTGGTGTCCCAAATTTTCTGATCAAGGAGATTATAGTGCCACAGAGGAAAGTGATCGATGATGTAGAGTGTACCTAAGAAGAGTCATCTGGAGAGAAAACATTCTCTCAGGATTTCACAGAGAGCAAACTGGTCAAGCAATGGCCATGACTCATCCTCATACCTGACGGGGACAGAGGATCTACAAACGGCTGTACAGGGTTTCAAGATAAATCCTGAGGGGATTTGACTGACCTTGTCAGATACAAAAGTCACATTTCTTGTTAAAACCTCTTTTATAAGTGATCCCACCTCAGCCTTATGAGAGGAGTGAGCTCCTCTCACCTAGTATCTCCTAAAAGCTCCATCTAATATTGTGGTATTGACTATTAAATTTCAACACCTGAATTTCACTTTCAGACTATAGCAAAGTATCCATGAATTACTCATCACTGAAGAACACTTACTTGGAAAATTCAATTTGATCAACATCTAAAAATTCATTCTTTCTTACTTTAGGCTTTCTTTGTCCTAATGGCTGAAGTTGAGAGTGTTTCCTGCTTTGACAAATATTTTCAAACAAAGCCAGGAAACCATACTGGGAAGGCCTCGCTTAGGAGGAACAGGACAGTGTAGTTTCCCTTTTACGCCATGCTTAACTTTCTTGCTAAGAAGAAATACTTCATGTCTCCAACTGATAAAATCTTTGTTTCAAATTTTTGTACCTCAGAACAAGGGATAGAGGGTGGGCTCTTAAATGTTGAAATACAGAAACTTCAGTGAAATAAAAAAGATTTTTATTTTATTTTATGTTTAAAGAGAATAAAAAATAGTAAAAAAAATTTTTGAAGTGATACAGAGTTTTACTAAGCACAATAATAGCAATTCAACAATAGTTGTTAAATTGCAAGCTGTTGTTTTCAAATTGGCTGCTTAGAGGACCCAATATAAGCATGCAAAATTGGCCCTTTTAATGGACCAGCAGAAGTCAGCAGTACAGTTATTATTCAAGCTTTTTTTTCTGGAACCAGGGATTGAACTCAGGCCCTTGCACTTGCCAGGGAAGTGCTTATTCTCCTGAGCCATCTCCCCAGCCCTTATTCAAGCTTTTCTTTCTTTTCTCCTTTTCCTTGTCCCAGTTGTCCCTTCCCTTTCAAAAATTTCTTTCTCTTTCACTGTATCTATAGTACCTTTAGATTTTATTTGCTCTTTCAGGTTCTTACAATAGGGAGGCAATACAATGTTTACACATATGGGACTGATTCATTTCACTTAGGAGTATGATCTCAAGTTGCATACATTTACCTATAAAAGCCCCAAGTTTATATTCTTTATGGCTAATACTCCACTGGATAAAATTACCACATCTTTTTTATCAGTTCTTTAGTTAATAGCCATTTGTGTTGCTTCCAAGATTTATCTATGACAAATTGTGCTGCTATAAACATGAGTGCACATACATCACTATGGTACGATGTTTTCAGTTCCTCTGGAAAAATACCCAGGGAAAAATAGCTGGGTATAAAGTAGAAAGTAATCTGATACTCAAAGTGGCAGTAAAGGTAAAGAAAAAGAAATAAATGTATAAAAATTGTTTCAATAACATCATCAAATAACCAGTGTAGGAACCACTAAAAAGAGGAGTACCTCAGTCCCTACCCAGCACTAACATGTCTCTTTTTTATTCTTTTTTTTTTCTTGTATTTTTTAGGGAAGGAGCTACAGGGTGTTTGGGGTCTCACTACTGGATTGGACTTGTAGTGATCCACCTGTTTACAGCCTCCCAAGAGCTGGGATTACAGGCATGCTCCACCACACCCAGTCTTAATTGCTGTCTCAGGGCGCCCAAGGGGTGGGTCCAGCACAGCAGGCCCAGGGATCAAACCTCTGGCTCCTGTGCCTGCTTGCAGGCATTTTAATCTATTGAGCTATTCAAACATGCCTCTTGATATCTCATCCCAAAGAGCTCATGAAGACATTTCTTCTACTCTTATAGGCTTCTATTTGTACTCCTACATACCTTGTAGGATGAAAGAAATATTTAAGTACTTGGACCTCAAAGACTTTTTTCTTTGTGCATAGTAAATACATTCAGTTGAAACATCAATTAGTTTATTATTAATTGATAAGGAAAAATCACTGTCAAAAATGTTAAACAAATAAGTCTGTAGGTAGATACAGATACAAAAATCTAGATTTGCCTCAAGATTGTTATCCAAATACTGAGTTCTAAATCTTTGTTGCCTTTTACAATGCAAGAAAACAACATATTAGATATCTGTTTGATGTTTTACCTCATAAATTGCTATATTGGAATTTTCATAGGTAGCTGGAGTTAGACTTCCTGAAGAAAAGGAGAGCCTTGGGGACCTCCCACTTTGAACCTCGGAGATGATCTGGAAACTTACACTGGCACGACTTCCTCTCTGTGAAAGGTTTAAAGAAATGTTATGAACAAAATTCTCATGATTTCAGACAAAACACTGAGCTGTAGTATAGCTACTATGCTTATATTTTTTTTTCTATTCATAAGAAAGCATTTATGGTTCTGTATTAAACTGGTTAATCTTTCCAGTCCTTCAGAACTTTTTAAATCTAGGCACTTCCCTTTATATGTAAGAAATTGAGACAAAATGAATGAGCTTCTCACCATCTTATACAAAAGTTTTAATTATAATAAGTGTTATTTATAAAATATAATATTTAAAAATATTCTTAAATAGGACAGAATCACACCTTTCTGACTCTCAGGATTGGTTCTTTTTCTTATACCTACCATACTGACTGGCATATTTTTGCAGGTCAGATGGTATCACCAAAAGCAATACTATGATGGAAAGTAAGTAGATCATCTTCCAATGATTTATGATTCTGATATTAAGTGGGCTAAATTCTCTATTCTGCGATTGGTTAATATGCACACATAAGTCTGGTAAAAAAAAAACTGATAACTTCACAGTTGAATGACAAGATAAAGAGCTATTTGCAATATGTGCTCAGCTTTAAAAGTGAACATGTACATCTTCAACTGAACCAGTAGACATACTTTAAATGAAGACACAATAAATCAACAGGTTCTTCAATATTGTTCTCATTGTTTCCAAATGTGCCTTTGTGAGAATTATAGCAATTGCAATAGCTATTGTGTAGTTCAGCCCACACATCCCACCCCAACACCTCAGTTTTATAATGAGGAAACAGAGAACTAAGAAGTAAATATCAGCTGGAACAAGACATTTGGTGTTATAATTCCTGGCCCTGTGCTTTTTCAACCATGTCAGGTTTTGTATCATTGTTACTTGCCAATAAATTCAATGTTAACTGCCTTACAATACTTCCCTAAATGATCTTTTCTTTTCTTAAACAGGGCCCACAGGGTCTCACTAACACAGATCAGATTTATAGTGATACTCCTGTTTTCAGCCTCTCAAGTGCTGGGATTACAGGCATGTGCAACCACACCCAGTCTGAATCACAGTCTCAGTGTGCCCTGGGGGTGGGGCCAGCAGGCACTTTGGAAACTGAATCCCAATCCCTCCACCTGCCTAAGCAGGCGCTTTAATCTGCCTGAGCTATCTGGTCGGCCCTTCCCCTAAATGATCTTTGATCAACCGAAAGTCACTGGTTGACTAAGCCCTGAATTAAGCTCCTTTTGAAAGAGGACTATTATAGTCAAAGTTCTAAGACAATGTTAAACTATTCAGTCCATATGGTTATAAAATTTCAACAGCTCAAGATTCACAAAAGTTGTAAAATTTGACTCTGCACATAACACTTGCATCAACCTGCACTCTCTCCAACAGAGCAAGGTCAGAGTGGAATCTACTTTCCTTTCACTTTTTATTTTTATTTATTATTTTTCAATTTTATTGAGAAACGAATAGCAATGAGACTTTTCAAAACTGATTAGTAGCAGTTTCAATAATTAATACATTGCATATTGTTGTCTTCATAGTGGTTGTTCATAGTACAAGATGCAAACATGATATCCTGTCCAAACACTACTAGTAAAAATCTTTCTTCTCATTGAATTAAGAGAAAGGAGCTGTATAGTATAGTATATATATATATATA